CCATGAACTACTTTCATGGTTCTTTTCACTCCTTTAGAAGACGACGATACCTTGTTTTGAACTTGAAATTATCATTTAAAAGTGCAAAATTTAGACATTTTCTCAACAAATGGTTGTAGCGAGAACATTAAAGGTACTTGGACACGGATTTGAAGTCAATATTTTTCACTTATTTTCTAAAATATTACAACTTATATATTTTAATAGCATATCACATAGAAATTAATAAAAAACCTTATTTCATGTAAAAGATATTTACATTTCAAATTCTTTGGCGAGTTTGATTGACACATTCCTGCACATTCGCAAAATTAATTTTATTCTTAATCCATAAGAAAAGTGTCAATCTAATTGTGTATAAATGAAAAATATTAATGCTAAAATCGAGAAAACTCAGAGTAAGCATGTTCAAAAGTAAAACAAACACACAATTTATTGTCAGTCCGTGCAATTGTGATAAACAGACTGTGACGATATTAAACGCACCCGGTGAATTCTAAATATAAACAATAACAGAACTCGGGCCTTGTTTACAAAAACTGTGTACATAACACGGGTTAGCTCGATTTGCCAAACTCTGTATGCAACCCGTAGTTCGGAATGACGAATGAGTTTTGCTTTCTAGCATTTGTACTCGGAATAAAACTATTTTTCTGGATAAAAGTTTTATTAATTTTCATTGATACACAATAAAATTGCCACTTTTCCTAAAAAAAAGAATAGGGTGAAAGAGCAATGTGTCAATCAAACCCGCCAAAAAATTTGAAGTTTTTATAACTTTTAAATGAAATAAGATTTTTAGTTAATTTCTTTGTGAAACGCTATCAAAATATATATGTCGTAATATTATACAAAATTAATTGAAAAATATTGACTTCAAATCTGTGTCCAAGTACCTTTTAATGCACAGTTTGCGTATTTTTGGGGATGTTTTAAGGCTCTGCTGAAATCTGTAGCTGCGCAGTTCTAAGGAGCATATCAAAAGCATTTTTATGCAAAAGTATAGATTATATATGCACAAAATGCAGTCAGTTATGCATATTTATTGTATCTTTATCATAAGGGTTTAGAATTTGATCAAAATATAATGTACTTTAGCCATTTGAAGAAATGTTTACATTTTGTTCTCACTGCACTTAATGTGGCCGTACATCCCCCTTAAGGTTTCGTCAAAGGTCAACATATCCAAAAACTTATTTTTACAATAGTCCCCAAAATATGTGAGGTATTAAGTTAAAACTTTTACAGTTTATAAATTTTTCAGTGATTAACAGATAGAAAGTATCACTTGAAAAAAAAATACTTGGAATAATAATTAATTGTGAAAAAATCTTCTTAAGATGCAGATATTATCAAAAAAAAACCCCACGTATTTAATTCCGTGCTCTTAGTGAAAATCGCCATTGCAAAAACAAAATATGTTTATCAATGAAGGGCAAGTTCGACTTGGATAGCCTCTGGAAAGTTTTAAATCTTACTGTTGGACCCTATGGGAATTTAATGGAAAAGCGCCAAATTATCACATTTTTTTCGTATTTTTAAATTTTTTGCGTTGGGATTTCTATTTCATTCGAATAAATGAAAGTAAATGTAAAAAGTCACCAATTTGTGAGATTTTAGAAAAATTAACCATCTAAGTTTGTGTAATCTTATAAATTTGGATTTACCGGGTGGCAGTAAATTCAATATTTACAACATGACATTGGTCTAGAAATTAATTACTTAGTTTATTATTGCAGTGCGTCATCGATATATCTAAATGTCGAGTTGAAGGCCAAAACAAGTGTGTTCCCCTTTTCACGCATAAGATTTTTCATAAATTAATTTAAACAATATTTTATTATGATTGAACATAATAGGATCGGACAGCAGGCACTGCCTATATACCGGTAAGTCCTTTCCACAATACAAAGATCAAAGTCATACATGTACAAGTAAATATAAGCTACATTGAAAAATATAAATATATACATAAAGAACTTTTGGACAATTTGAAATCACAAGACTTTACAAAAATCAACAGCATAAAAACTTACGACTTTTCAACTTTATACACAACAATTCTCCACGACAAATTAAAATCCAGGCTTTTTGATATCATTGACTGCTGCTTCTTCAACAAAAATGGAACTCGTAAGTTTACTTACCTCGTCATTGGTCATTTGAAAAATTATTTTGTTAAAACAGATTCTGATTGCACACATAAGTACTCTGAAGTTGACATCAAGAAGATGCTTGAGTTTCTGATTGACAATATCTATGTGGTTTTTGGAGACCAGGTATTCCAACAATCTATTGGAATTCCCATGGGTACAAATTGCGCTCCGTTATTAGCAGACTTATTTTTATATTCATATGAAGCAGAATTTATGCAAAATCTTTTACGTGAAAAGAAGAAAACACTTGCTGTGGCCTTCAACTCGACATTTAGATATATCGACGACGTATTGTCTATTAATAATGATAATTTCCATTCCTACGTCGACACGATATATCCTGGTGAGCTTGAAATAAAAGATACCACAGAGTCCGACACTTCTGCTTCATACTTGGATATTTTACTTGAAAAAGACACTAATGGTAATCAAACAACCAAGCTATATGATAAACGTGATGACTTTAACTTTTCTATCATCAACTTCCCTTACTTATGCAGCAATATACCTTCATCACCTGCATACGGAGTATTTATATCTCAGTTGATTCGATATGCAAGAGCATGCTCTACGTATGAACAATTTCTTAAACGAGGTAAATTATTGACAAGCAAGTTGATGAAACAAGAATATCAGCGGTCTCGTTTGAAGTCATCATTTCGTAAATTCTATGGTCGATACAATGACCTTGTCAGCAAATACAATTTATCATTGAATGAAATGCTGACTGACGTTTTTCATACCAATTGTTAGTCCATTATTTATACACTGAATTGACCACGGATTTTTTCCGTTATATCCTGATTATGACAACTAGCACACGGCGGGTGTGACCGGTCAGCAGGGGATGCTCACTCCTCCATGGCACCTGATCCCACCTCTGATGTTTCGGGGGTCCGTGTATGCTCTGCTCTTGTTTTGTGTATTTGTTTAATGGACGTTGAGATTGAATACTGTTCGTTATTTCCATATCCTTCTTCATGTATATATTAATACAAATTAAAAAGAACAAAGAAAAGTATATATGAGCCGATGATATTTTGTATATTCTATCAGACAAGTGGTTCTCAATCCAAGTAACAATTTGTTCAGATATTCCCACACGAGTATGTAATTAATGGTATTTTTCTCGCATTATTTTATCCAAAAATAATAGCCTGTCAATGACGACGTCGCCATAAGCCTAAAAAATATTAAAATATATTTTTTTCGAATTTCCAATCTTAAAACACCATCGGAAGAAGCTTACTAGTGGTGTAAACTTACAAAATGAATTTCGCTCTGTATTTATTAATATGATAGATAAAAAATGGAAATAAAACACATATCAATCGGATAGCGTACAAATTCATTTTAGAAGACTCTTTCCGCGTACTAAACATAAAGCGCCACTTAAAAAAGTCACCATACTTCAATATTTAGAATGAAAAAAGTTTATTGTAATAAGTAGCGAAGGAAGGATATGGAAATAACTAACAGTATTCAATCTCAACGACCATTAAACAAATATACAAAATAAGAGCAGAGCAAACACGGACCTCCGAAACATCAGAGGTGAGATCAGGTGCCATGGAGGAGTGAGCATCCCCTGCCGACCGGTCACACCCGCCGTGTGCTCGTTGTCATAATCAGGAAATAACGGAAAAAATCCGTGGTCAATTCAGTTTATAAATAATGGACTAAAAATTGGTACAAAAAACGTCAGTCAGCATTTCATTCAATGATAAATTGTATTTGCTGACAAGGTCATTGTATCGACCATAGAATTTACGAAATGATGACTTTTAACGAGACTGTTGATAATCTTGTTTCATCAACTTGCTTGTCAATAATTTGCCTCGTTTAAGAAATTGTTCATACATAGAGCATGCTCTTGCGTATCGAATCAACTGTGATATAAATACTCCGTATGCAGGTGATAAAGGTATATTGCTGCATAAGTAAGGGAAGTTGACGATAGAAAAAGTTAAAGTCATCACGTTTATCAAATAGCTTGGTTGTTAGATTACCATGAGTGTCTTTTTCAAGTAAAATATCCAAGCATTAAGCAGAAGTGTCGGACTCTGTGGTATTTTTTATCTCAAGCTCACCAGGATATATCGTGTCGACGTAGGAATGGAAATTATTGGGATTTAATTTCATGGATGAAGAATTGTTTAGAAGTAATATCTGTAATGTATTGTAGTAGTATAATATATTGACAAGCAAGTTGATGAAATAAGAATATCATGACTAGCAGTCTAGGTTTAAATCTTCAATTCGTAAGTTCTATGGTCGATACAATGACCTTGTCAGTAAATTTGTCTGCAATTTATCTTGAAGTCAAATTCTGACTGACGTTTTTTATACTAATTGTTAGTTTATTATTTATACCATATTGACGACGGATTTCACCGTTATTTCCCGATCATGACAAGGAGCATATGACGGGTGTGACAGGTTTGCAGAGAATGCGCACTCCTCCGTGGCATCTGATCCCAACTCTGATATTTCAGGGGTCCGTGTTTGCTATGCTCTTATTTTGTATTTTTTTATGGACTTTGAGATTGAATACTGTGCCTTATCTCCATATTATTCTGTAAAAAAAATTCATTTCATGATGAACATAAATTCCTGGGTTTCTTCATATCTTGGAAACCACAAGATACCCCCCCCCCTTCCCATGAAATTCGAAATTTCATAGTATTCGCCAGTTTCCATTCGTGATAGTATATAGTACTTATGAAAACATTTTTAATTTGTGAAATTTAAAAAAAAAACTTGGATACATGTTATATAGCACCTCTTTCTATTCTGAGTAATAATTATCTATTTATAATTTCAGGAGCTGGTATTTCATGAAAAATGAACGGTACGGACTGTCAAACGGAGCAGATTGACTGCAGTTCTGAGGAGGGATTACCGGAATTTCCACTGAATACTTCTGATCTCATCGTTATAGGCATGCTTGCCGTATTCAGCGTCATAGGCATCATAGGAAATGGAATTGTCATTTTTGTGTACACGAAGAAAAAGGATAAACTCACCTCGTCAGTTTTCATTCTTGGGTTAGCAGTGTATGACTTTTTGACCTGTTCTGTTATTATACCGTATACTGCGTGTGTCTGCGTGTATACCTTAGGTTTATGATTCTGTACGACGCTCTGTGTAAAATTTACATATTTCTTCTGACCTTCAGCGTACCCCTGTCTGCATTTTTAATGGTGGTCATTGCTGTGGACCGTTATCTCTGCATCTGCCACCCATTCCTGCATCTGTTGAATAGAACTCGGGCAAGGACTGTTATTGGCCTGTTGACAGTCTTTGCCTGTGTTCTGGGTACACTTAGCTGTATATCCTATTCTGTGTACATGTACGCAGATTCATCTCTTGGGGATTTTTCAGACAGCACTGAAGAGAGACACAGTAAAGATGGTATCATTCACCAAACTATTTCGACACCGTATCATCAGGAAGAATACACTGGTCAATGTAATTATCCAGGAACAATTGTGGGCATGGCTTACTTAATAACGTGGCAGAAAATTTATTCTTCGTTTTATTTGATACCCCTGATAATTGTGCTATTACTTTATACTATGATTTATTATTCCGTCACCCGACGAAGATCAAACAGAAGAAAACAGAAGGCTATGAATAACATTAGTCTTCAGACCTTTCTCAAAGAGCCCCCAAAACAAAACGCCCCATCCCAAACACCGCCATTTACTGCACTTTCTGCTAACGACAACAACAAAAACGCCAAAGAACAAAAGATTTTGCAGGTGGAAAAAGTTGAAAATGGCGTCTCTCCTCGACCAGTAGAAAATGCAGACGAGACGTTGCCTGTACAGCAGCAACAGGCCCATAAAAATCCTCATCACTATATCAAAGTTCAAGATACAATAGCAAACATCAAGACAGCATTTATGTTATTTATTGTTGCTGTTGTTTTTATCATCGCCTTTTTCCCTACTTGGTTGATGGCACTTGGTGCCGTTACGCACAACAACATTGTTTTTTATATGTACTTTGTGTATAATGTTACTAATCCTATAATTTATGCCTTCATGAATCCAACGTTTAGAAGAGATATTAAAAAGATATGTCACTAGAGCCTAATATTTAGGTATATTTTTGGACAAAATACGCATGTAGTACTCAATAGCATCTCTTATTGTGAAATGTCCTCGGAAGCTTGATATGAACTGATCCCGTATCTTTTAACCTTCAAAAGACTTATGATGCTAATGTTGGTTGTATTTTTGAAACATCTGTTGTCAGCATTATTTTGTGTGTAGAGAGACCTGTTTAGAGATGTAGGGTGTGTGATTTTTGCTGTTAATCATTTGAAACAATTACATGTACAATAAGTTAAAAACAAAATATAATTTTCGGCAACGACGAAAGACATTTTTTTTCTGATGGTCTTACTACTACATGTATATGAATAAACAGAATATGTATAGAAGGTTCTCATAATTGAATTTTTATGATATGAAAACCTTTTCATATGTATGTGGTATCAAAATTGAGTGTAAAAATCGTGTTAGATATCTAGGATTGTTTTTTAGATAACTGAATATCTGGTGAGTAGAAACTATTACCAGCAAAACAAACCAACGACCTAAATTTTTATATAAGACAAAACTCATGTTTGTTAATGCAATCAAGAAAATCATTGTGTACCGCTTCAATTCAGTAGCACATTGATTATGCTATTACTTGTTTGTATGAAGGTCTATCTGAAAAAGAAATAGACTACAGGTTGTACAGAATAAGTGTATTAGAGTCATTCTCTCAACTAGATCAAGAGTTATTGTTAACGAATTTGAAAAAAAGGTTTTTTTTTTATATTTGAAGTATAGTTTGTCAGTTATACCTCAACTGTGTCTACAATATTTTCCACAATTAAGGTCCAGATTATATGTACAGCAATTTAACGCGAAATGTGTCAAAAAATTTAAAAGGTCAAGCCAATTTAATTTTTATAGTGCCAAGGGTTAAAAAAGATGGAGAGTCAAACATTTTTAAAATGAATCAAAAATTGGAATTCTCTACCTGACCAGATTAATACAATAACAAGTAAAACAAATTCAAAAAGGAGATCAAAATCATTTTATGGAGAAACGTAAGAAAAATGTCAAAGATTTATAGCTCAACTGTTCATTCCTCATATACAATTAAGAACTTATGTTTTATATGCTTTTGCATAAAACGATTACTTTTAAAGCCATTTAGTTTATAGCTAGTATTCTATTTATTTTTTTTCTAGTAAGTAATATATAATATATGTAATATGCCAACAATTTTAATACATGTAAAAGGACCCTTTTGGAAATAAGCCATAGTGGTGTTAATTGGCTATTGTAATGAATCAGAATTAGTTAAGTGGATTGAAATAGGTTTTTAAATCACCCAATCAAATCATATTATGTGTAGCCAATCAGAGTTGATATTTTAGCCAATCAAATCATTAGAATTTATTAACCAATGAATAACAATAAGGCATAGGAGAAATAGTATATAAATAAAGGGATCAATCTTGTTTTGTTTACTTTTGGTGTAACTTTTTGTCGGAGTTAGGTGACTTGGGAAGGGTACCTGGGCTGTGTCGGGAAACAACAGAATTCTTAGTTAGACCACTCAGCCCAGGGACCCAGTTCCCTAGTGTCTTTGTGACTGTAGCTATGGTGTCTCTGTGACTTTAGCTTGTGTCTTACCAAAAGTCGTGTCCTGTTCATAGCTATGGTGTCTTGGTGACTTTAGCTTGTGTTTGTGTGTCTTAATATGATAATGTTACTTTGTGATTATTTTGGTGTGTTTACGGTAGTTGCAGACTGTGTCGGGAAACAACAGAACTGTTCGTTAAACCACTCAGTCTGCAGCTACATAATTTTATATTTGATTTTTTGGTTTGATTGTAAGTGATTCCTTCGTTATAGTTCGTTGTTATTTAGTTTACTAATCATTATCCAGGTAGGACCAAGGAAAAAGTTTATATAGTGACTTTACGTCAGTTGTTCGATATTGCTATTGAAGTTTGTTTTGATTTTATATTATAAACATGATTCTTAGGAAGGAAACCTAAGCGAACCCAAATATTAATTATTTGTACTTTTTAAGAACGTTACACTATCAATGATTTAGGCATATTTAATGCAATATACTCGTTTATTTATATAAAAATGAGATTAAGTATTCAACTTGTTTTATAACTTATCTATTGAATTATGTATATCAAGTTTATAATTATTATTTTGTGTATAATACTCACACCTTGAACAATGTTCATGTACATTGCCAGATTCCGTATGCTTGAATAAAGATTATTATTATTATCATCAAGGTCATTGTCCTTGATGTCGGTTGAAAGAACTTAATTAGTTGAGTATGCATACCAAACATGAAGTTTATGCCTCCTATGGTTGAAAAGTAATGGCGAAAGTTCGAAATTTTATGATAAAGCTAGCTAGTTTTAGCATATAGGTCACAGTTATGGTCACAGGGTTAGTGATTTTGGTGTCATTTGAGAGAGCTTAATTAGTAGAAAATGAACTTTTGTTGGCGAATTCTGTCTTACTATGGTTACCTAATTTAAACTTACAGTTAGATTTGCCAATGATTAAACTTGTGAAGTCAAGTGCATCACGATGCAGATCACCGCTACTGATATTTTTATTATTTCCATTGCACGCATCACTAGATTTTATAACACTCATAAGATTTCGAATATATATCACGAGATGTTGAAAATACATCACATGATTATAGAACATACATTACAAGTTTTTTTTAAATATTCATATTGAAAAGATATTGAATATAAACATAACATTAAATAGCATTCATCACGAGATTTTCAAATCTCAATCATTTTGAAATATTGGACATACGTCGTAAGATTTTGAATACAAATAACAAGATTTCAAACATATATCACAAAATATTAAAAATATATCACAAGAATTTGAAAATACATAAAATGATTTCGAGCATACATCACAATGTTTCGAATATATATGTATATTACAAGACAGACTATCGAATAAGACATCATTTTACCTGCCATACATACACATTTTTTATTTTTTAACAGCAAATTATACAATACCACTTTCACTATTTTTTATCTTAATACTTAAGAAATGTGGCATTTTGTTGTTTATTAATGAAAATATTAAAACTTTATTCCAGAAAAAAAATTATAATTTATTTAGAGTAGAAATGTTTGAAAGCAAAACCATTTTCACATGTATCGTCATTCCGCGCTTAGTGTTAAATACAGAGTTTAGCAAATTGAACACACCTGTAAAACATGTTTTTTTTAACAGGGCACGATTTACCGGGTATGGTCAATTGTTAAAGCCTGCTCACCACAAAAACTACACGGACTGAAAATATATTGTGTGTATGTCTTGCTGTAAAGCATTTCTATTCTCAATTTTCTGGATTATAGTTTTTTAATCGTCACTAAAACACAAGAAAATGCCACTTTTCCTTAGTATATTAAAAATAAAATTAAAATCTGTGAAAATGCTAGAATGTGTCAATCATACCCGTCCAAAAATTTGAAGTTTCAATATTTTTTAGATGAAATAAGATTTTAGATAATTTTCGTGTGAAATGCTATTGCAATATATAAGTAGTGATATACAAATAAATTGAATGAATGAAAACTTCAAATCTATGTCTTTTTACCTTTCATATAATCTCTCTCCAATAGTTCTAGTATATCTACAGTTGTATATTATTTCTTTCCAGTGATTATTTTGATATGGATTCACGAGTATATAGTTTGTTTTTCAGGATAGAAAATAGGGAATTGCTCCTGTGTAAGGTGCATTATTGCTCTTATATACCGGTAGCCTGGTGTAGCCGATTGCATTGTTGATGATTTAGAGGATTTAAATACAAAATTCCTAAAAGGACCGAAAATATGCAAACAGTTACGGAAGAAATGGAATAGACCACCGCATTATAGAGTCAGTGGTTTTGATGACTTGAAGAATAGCCTAACATGTAACCTAAGATCATTAACAATTATAAAATTCTCATGACGTGGAAATTTGTCATTCACCCCATCCTCAAAAAATAACGAGGCATAAAACTTCTATACTAAACAGACACAGTCAGCCTCTCGCAGGAAGCCATAATAATCTGTGAGTTGAGAATCGAGGATCTTGATTCAACGGAAAAGGGGACTTAAATTGATATGATCTTCTAATTAAGATAAGGAAGCAGAATATGGTGTATACAAAGAGATACGAGTCTCCTTTTCTCTGTTTTATTACCCTCTCTATTTATGTTCTTAAGCTACGTCGTGTCTGTCAGTAGATGATTCAGAGGAGAATGTAGTATAAGGAAACAGAATATGGATTTTCTCCACTCAGTATTAATTGCATGATATTCTCTATATTTAACTTTTTCAACTACATCGTATGTGTCAGGAGCTGGTTCGGAATATAATCTGTACATGTACCAAGGCGTGGAGTCAGAATTCTCCAACAATGAATAATTTCCTTGTTTCAAGAATTCTTTATTGGAAAGTTAATTTTGTACGAATGTGACAAAATGTGACAAACAATCAGATTCCAGGAAACCTGGCTAACTTATTATTTAGGGTAAAAAACCTAGGATCAGGTGCTAAGGAGAAGTAAGCCACCCCTAAAATTCTACTTTGAAAACTTCATGTGATCTCCATGGAATTGTATGTATTCTATGCAGACTAATTTATATTTGGAAAACAAATGGTTCACTCAGAAAGAAATTGTATGTGCATACTTATGTCTGAAATAGAAAACACAGGTCATCAACATGAAATAGTAAGATTATGAACAGTAATCAAGCTAAGAAATATTAATACAGAGACAATTTACTGTTTAACATTTTTCCTTGCTCTCTACTGTTATGGGCCTTTTCAATAAATAATTTGTATTAATACCATCGAATACCTTACTGAAGTCCATATTACATCAGTAGAGTTTTTGCCATTCAAAAGATGCTTATCAGTTAAAGTTTGCAGGGCAAAACTTGAGTTTATGGTGACAATCCATGGTCTGAATCCAAACTGTGCATCAGTTAAACAAAGTTACTTTATGGCAATGTCATCAGT